TCTTTGATTTATCCACAGATTACTCCCAAAACATTCAATTTAATCAGGTTTTAATCAAAGGCTGTAATAAATTTGATTTGTCTACAAATTACTCCCTAAGCATTCAATTTAATCAATAGTGCAATATTAATAAAATTGAAAAGTAGGATAATATCAAATATTTTGAATAATATGCTAAGATCAAGGATGCTTAGCTTTTTGCCGGGCTTGATTAGATTCTGAGAGCAAAACCTTCTCATTGAAGCCACAGCCACACGGGGCTGGAGTGATAAACTTTTCGCATTGTTGTGCACTTCGCGCTTTCAGGATCCAATAGCATCAAAATTTATATTTTTATCGTAGTCCCGATCCCGGCCACATTCTCTGTCCTGAACCCGGTCATGATCTCGACAACGGTAATGGTCACAATTTCGATCTCGGCTTCGTCATGCTTGCTGAAGCAATTGCGAACTCTAATCGGCCTTGAACGGTTGATGAGTTTATTTTTGCACTTTGCGCTCATCTTATTAGGATTTGGATGTGGCAGTGGCTGCTGTGCTTTCACCACTATTGGGTAGGAATCGAATTTAGTCGTTTCCTACAAACGGCGCCAATGTTACGATCTTATAGATCGATATGTCCAATCAGAGATTGATATGTTAATATAGGATCTGTTTTCCCTCCCTCAGGTACCTATAGAAGAGGTACCCTAAAGATAAGCGGATAACTATGCACTATAGTATAACGACATAGTCAAGGCGTGGGGTGTGTGCACAGTGACAAGCTAAGAGAGAGGGTTTAGAGTGTGTGTACTTTATTAGTTTAACCCTTTATTTATAGAAGGGTTACCTGGAAGGAGTGGACTTTTGGGCCTCTCAGGAGCATTGGGATTCCAATTGTTGATTCATTGTTGCCATAGTAGGATTAGCATAATTAAGAATTAAGGAATATTTCCTTAATTCCCTCTTAGCTGTTAGCCCTATTTGGGTCTTCTAGAATGTAGGCCTTTGTCAGATTCATAACACTTACTTTTAATTTCACTGAATTATTGAGATTTATTTATTTTAATTTGTTATATTTTGGTACATACTCTTAGTCTTTCAAAATCGTTTTCTTTATTTTGATCTCATATAAATATAATCACTTTCGTTTCGCTCCTCTAATTAAATCAATCGTAAACTTTTAAGTTTTACCATTCTTTCACTTTTTTAAATATAAAATTAATTATTTTTAATTTCCATACAAGTACATTTAAACATATTTAAATTTATGTATGGTAGTTACAAAAGTGGGCAAAAAAATTTAATTATTGCATTTTAATTAAATAATTACGCATTTATTGTTGTTTGGAAAATAATTACATATCTACTGCACAATGTGACGCCACATTTGGGCGTCACATGTGACGCCCCAATGGGGCGTCTCTCATGAAGGAGAAGACGCCCCAATGAGGCGTCACATGTGACGCCTAAAAGGGGCGTCTCATGTGCACATCTATAAATTCCCACATTTTACCATTTCACTCCTCACTCATTCACCTCTCTCTAACCACGGTTCGTAGCGAATCTCTGCCAACTTAGGTAAGGTCGTAATACCTCCTATGTATACGTTTAAATTATAGTGGTAGTTGGTAATACATGTTAGGATTGATCGTATATTAGAGACTTAGAACATTAGGATAATCACTTAGAAATTTGTGCCATGCTATCAATGTTGTAATGATACTTCCCTTTTTTTGTTACGTAGTTATTATTATTAATATGTAAATTATGCATTAGGGTTTAGCGTATTAATTAGTGATTTAGAAAATAGTGATAGCGACTTCGTAAATTTTTTATGTATGATGTTATTAATGCGGGAGTGTATTCATAATTTTGTAGTTAGTTAGGTGTGATGATTAGTACATATTTATGAAGTTATTAGTGACCTAGGGTTAAGTATTCTGTAAGTATTATATTATTTTTGTCCAATGTTTTTTTATTATTTAATTACAAATAAATGACTGTACTACGTATTAACATTATTTCATTAATTTCGATTCTAGTAAAATAAATGACGCATATGCTTAAATTTTTTGATAATAAATTATGGCATTGCTTAATTAATTTGTAAATAAAATGGGGAATTATATGTGACTAATTTAAATGTTGTTTTATATGATATAGTTGAGGGTAATGGCTGATTCATCATCTTCATCGGGTTCTGCATCGGATATACAACCTACCGATCCCAGCATGTACATCATACCTGGGCCGTACAGATGGGACGTCCTTTGTAAGAGGACGCAACGTGCTCATATTTCACAGTGAGTGTGGAATATGGAGCATGTCAGGAAAATAAAGACCAAGCGTGGGAAGCCAACAGGGGGGGCCACCTACCGGCGCTATCCCAGAGGTTGTTGCAGACTACCTGACACATGCTGGATTTATACATGTTGCCCGAATGCGACATATCCAGGTATGCAATTTACGTTGTTTTGTATTTATGTAATTATTCAATACCATTCGTTAACACACTGTAATTGCATAATTTATCACAGATCGATGCCCCTTTAATTAGTGCTCTGGTCGAGAGGTGGAGACCAGAGACACATACTTTCCACATGACCTAAGGTGAGATGACTATCACCTTGCAAGATGTGGCAGGCATATTGGGCTTGCCTACTGGCGGGGCTGTCGTCACCGGCTCTACCTCTGAGGATTGGCCCGCTGCTTGTGGGGCTGTATTTGGCGCGGTTCCACAGCCAAATGAATTCCATCATTCAGGCGACCTGCGTATCTCATACTTAGATCGGTTATATACCCGGTGGACCGATCATGCCGGGGATCATGATGCTGAGATCTACTTCACAAAGGCGCACATTGCCAGGTTTCTGGGTTCTTGGTTGCTGGCAGACAAGTCTGGAGGCAGCAATTTCGGTTGTCGGCTAGTCCCGTTGCTTGGGGGAGGATTTGATGAGATTGGCCAATTCAGTTGGGGATCTGCGGTTCTATCACACCTGTTCAGGAATTTGTGTGAATTGACAGATGCCGGTCGATCTGACATGGGTGGTTGCCATATTCTTCTTCAGATCTGGGCATGGATACGATTCCCACCCATTGCTCTGTCGCTTCCTCCTCATCCAGAGCCGGGAACGCATTATGGATGTTGGTATGCTTTGTTAAAAATATAAAATTTTGCTAATGATTTATCATATATACTATCTGTATGCTTCTTGATTATGATTGCTGATGTATGTTTCTGATGACAGGTTTAATACAGTAGCAAAGTTTAAACCTCATGAGGTCACTCATTATCCGGAAACCTTGGATACACTTTATAGAGATGAGGTAAGGTGGTCCATACTTAGTATGTTGTTATTTCATCATGCATGTATATTAATTTGTAACTCCTTATATTCAAATTTCATTTTGTGTGTAGGTGGTGTGGCAACCATATATCGATTATCAGTGGCTGGACGTGACTGCACACGAGCAGTACCTTTAGCTTGCTGTCAGTCCCCTTATTTACTTCCACACTGTAGAGGCATGTCAACCGAATAGATGCATGCAGCAGTTTGGACTGGATCAACCCATCCCGGAAGTGAGCAGAAAGTTGAGAGGGATACATGATCATACTCTACGGGGAAAGGTTGAAGAGAACTGGAGGCGTAAGCTTAGTCCGTGGATAGCAAGATGGCAGGCCAGGGAGCATCATATTGTTGTGCCCCCTCCATTACTAGGGTTGATGTCACCTAATCATGCGTACATGGAGTGGTACAGAGCGAGGGGAAAGTGATACATCTCTTGGAGGGCAACAAAGTTGGGACGAATGGTGAGTTTGTAAAATTTGTGCAAATATACATATTTTACATTTTATAATGACATTGCTAACACATTTTGTTATACAGATTGACGGTCTAGAAATGTTGTATCATGCAACAACGTTGGAGGAGTTTTCTCGAGTCGGCTTAGAGTATATCCACGAGGAGATTGGCAGGCTTATTGGTATGTTTCGGGAGAATTCATGAGTTGATGAGCCTGGACCTGAGGCACCACCAGCCCAAACACAGCCGGATCCGCAGTTATCCCTGGATGTTCCCCGTAAGCGAGTTGAGGGACGCGGATTAGGGCGTACCCGTGAGCGAGTTGTTGCTGACCCTGTCCCGATTATGGCACCGAGACCAATGGTCGAGACTCAGGGATGGTTCAGGCCTCCAGTCATTGGGACTACTTACGGGTCACAACCGATATATCGTCACGGATCGCAGTATGCGGCAGGTCCTAGCCAGGCGGCGTCTGAGCACCCATACATGGATTCACAGGAGCCAGTTTTCCAGGCTAGTCCCATGGCTATGGCAGGGGTGGATCCGGCATCCTCGCAGCCTGAGTTCCAGCAGTATTCACAGGGACTTGATGTTGATGTGCCCCATTGGACTGCAGAGGATACCGCGGGAATGTATCGCACACTAGGCCTTGTCACAGAGAGCCCTGATAGTGGGGAGACTCTAGCCACGGATTCCCACAGTCAGGGATACACCCCATTTGAGGTGCATGGAAGTGGTGCAGGATACAGTTATTCACATTATCTAGGCCAGTCTTCAGATATTGGTGGGCACGGACCCGCAGATGATTTCATGTGTGCGGCGATGGATGACTTCCAGACTCCACCGCCACAGGCACCTCAGGGAGACCCAGTTTGGGACAGACGTATACTGCCAGATAGGGATGCACGCCATAGGCCATGGCCACCGTGGTCGTAGTTTCATTGCCATTTAGGGCTTTTTTGTATTAGGGTTTAGACTTTATCATATTGTTATTTTGTGGATTGTACATTATTCTACTTATTTGGACTACTTACCATGCTTTTTGTATTTATGTTTTGTTGGTTGCCCGTATTGCACTTATGGTACGGTAACTAATCAAGACGGTTAATAGTATGAGAATAAAAACATACATAAAAGACAGGAAAAAGTTCAACATAAAAGACAGTACAATTCAAGCAATAAAATAACCAACAGCAGAAACAAATTTCTAAGTATCTCAGTCGTTTCTCCCACGATTTGGACATCCTCGCCGATTATGGCCGCATTCCTTGCACAGTCCACACCTGATACGGCTTTGACTTGTCTCAACTTCGTCCATCTCGTTGCGGATGCGAGATGACTTTGGACGATCTTTTGCACGCAACATAGTGGCATTGGGAATAATATTTGGACCACTAATTTCAGGTATTGCTTCCTCGTTTCCGATTGGCTCCCACGGAAAAGAATAAGCCTCGACCAAGTTAGTTGTCAAGAAGACATTGTCTACGTACATGAACGGACTCTGCCTAACACTTAAAGCAGCAGTAGCGGTGTGACTACACGAATACTTAAAGGCCTTAAACTTTCCACACTGACAGAATCTCTGTGGGAGATTGACAGAATATGAACACTCCCAACCAGAGTCAACCTCGAAGACGGTATGTTCCACATTGTATGCACGAACGTGGTGGCCTGTTGCATCTACCTGGTTTTTCTTGACTAATTCAACAATATTTTTGCAGTGACGATGAGCTGATTCAAGTTGTGCAACGACATTTGTTCCTCTCTTAACAAAATAATGAACCAATCTGCTATATGTATGCTTAACCAATGCAGTTATAGACATATTTCTGGCCCCCTTCAAAACCCTGTTCACAGATTCTGCAAAATTTGTTGTCATATGATCGTACCTCCGTCCTTCAATATCGTAGGCTCGCGACCACTTTTCCTTAGGAATGGCATCAATCCACTCAGCAATTTGAGGACTACTTTCACGGAAGCTCGCAAGATTCCTTTCAAAATCAACCATGGCCGGATTATAGCCTGCACATAATGGACATCATCGAAATAAACATAAATTGAGAAACATAATGGAAATAAATAAAAACGTATCTAATCAGTGAGTATACCTAAATTTTTTAACATCCGCTTCAAACCTTCATTCCGAAACTTTTGATTGAAGTTGCTTGCAATATGACGAATACAAAAGACGTGATATGCATTTGGTGGATGCCAATTAGGGTTATTCTCCACAGCAGATATTATGCTACGATGCCGATCGGAGATCAAACATATGTTTGACATGTCAGTAACATGAGCACAAATATTAACAAGAAAAAAGTCCCATGCATCCAAGGTTTCGCCTTCGACGATGGCAAAAACAATCAGTAAACATTCATCATTACCATCTTGGGATGTGGCCACCAACAATTTGCCTTTGTACTTCCCATATAAATGTGTTCCATCAATTTGTATGACGGGTTTGGCAAATTTGAACGCCTCACAATACTGTCTAAACGTCCAAAATATGCGATGAAACACCTTTTTTCCAGTCACTAAGCTCTGCTCTGCATAAAGATCATTTGTTTGGATATGATAAAATGAACCTGGAGAAAAGCGAAGCATGTATTCGCACCACCTTGGAAAAAAAGCATATGATTCCTCCCAATCACCGTACATAATTGCCATCGCTTTCTGCTTCGCATACCACGCCTTTCTGTAGGAAACTTTAAAGCCATATTTAGAGGTTATCCTTTCTTGCACCAAAGAGATTGACACAGATGGTTCTTCCTTTATCATTCCTGCATTGAAGAGTACCCAGACTCGATAACATCGAACAAATTTAATTACACAGCAGTACGTAAACGTTGACATGTCATACAAATAAATAAATACGTACCTATGACGAGATCTTCTATAACGTCCGCATCGAGCTGTCTATGTCCCTGGGAAATGTGCTCATTCAAACAATTGTGATCTCCACCCCATCTCGTAATCTTCCAATTTTCACCAAACACTGGTTTCATGGCCCTAACGCGCCACGAGCAACCCTTATCATACGCACAACATTTCATGGATAACTTTGCAGGCGTGCTCTCAATTACAATTGCTTCTTGATGCTCCCTAATGAGGTGTTGCTTAAGTGCCATTTGGACATCTTTTTTTGTTGCAAATTCTTGATTGACAAATAACTTGTCACCCAGTTGCCACGGACCTTGTATTGAACCCGATCCTGAGACCATACCATCAGTGCATGATTCTTGTTCGCTCCGATAACTCCAATCAATGTAGGAATAATGCAGAATTCCTTCCCAAAAAGGAATTACAGCTTCGTCACCTATAATTGCGGATTGTAACTTTTTAATACAAACTTCCTAATTCAGGTATTATATCAGCTGCAAAATTCAACTATATACACATTATTTCAATTACCTTAATGATGAATACCTAATGGGGCAGACGCAACGGCATGCAACTGCGGCATTTGCGCGACCACTGGTTCATGGAATATTAGGATTTGAGACGCACCCATCTCAGCACCTTCATCTTCTTCGGAAGCACTAGCATCCTCCGCAAGAAGACGTTCTTCCATTGCGATATTTTCATCATCATCGTCGTCGTTTTCGTCGTGCATTTCCCAAGTCGGATCATTTTCATCTCCCTCAGAATAGTTACCAACTGGAGACGCATGAGCGGCAAACAAAGATGGAAGACGAGGAGAATGTAAGTCAACTGACCTCACCGGTAACGGAACATTCTCGGTTGCGGCGATGTCGACATACAACTCCAGAAAATCTGTCCTTGACTGGTTGAAAAATTCTTCCATTGTCATCTCCAGGTCTTCATCGTCAACCACTTGCAAACTAATGTATTTATCACATTGCCATAACCTTGTCATGATCAGAGTGATACATTCGTTGCCTTGAAGACTTAACTTCTGCCGAATTCTCTGATGCAGTTCGCCAATGGTTGCGTGGCGTTGGATACGTGTCGACCTTTTTTCACCTTCAAAAATGACACATCGTCGACCTTCTACCTTCCTACCATTGTAATATAACACAACACGAACAGAATCAGGACGTGAACTCATTCTTAAATAAAATAAGAAATAAAATTCAAATACTAAATTAAAGGGAATAGATATGAAGAGTGAGAGAAGAGGTGTGAAGAGTGAATGGAGGGGTGGGGGATTATATAAGTTGCACAATGTGACGCCACATTTGGGCGTCACATGTGACGCCCCAATGGGGCGTCGCGTCTCTCCCTAGGGTGAGACGCCCCATTGGGACGTCACATGTGACACCCAAATATGACGTCACATTGTGCAGTAGATGTGTATTTATTTCCCAAATTGTCATAATTGCGTAATTATTTAATTAAAATGCAATAAATAAATTTTTTTTGCCTTCAAAAGTGTTTTAGCCAAATATTAAGGCTATCAACTACCGAGTTCAAAATTTATGTTTTAATTTACCCGTTAGTTATAAATGTCCAAATTACTAATTTAGTTATTTATGCAAGTAGATAGAAAGAGCAAAATTAAAGCGATCACAACAGCAAATAATCAAAAGAAAAGAAAAGAATGATTCCAATACAAGTAAATACTTCTGACACTAACCAAAAAAAAAAAAAAAACTCGGAACGACTAAACAAAAGTGAGTACGTATGGATTAAAATGAAGGAGAATAAAACGAAACTAATACATCAATGAGGGTCAAAATAATATTTTATTCATACATTAATCTTGAAATATAAGTGCTTATTAAGATCCGAGGAGTATATTAATCTTAAAATTTGATAATATTTTTTCTCCATTTACAAGAATTTAAATATTTTGAGTTGTAGGGTTTTTTTAAATTTTTAACTAATTTAATTTCAGCACAATTAAAATACTTTATCATTTTCAAATGATTAATTTAAATTAAATTTATCAAGAATAATTTTAAATTAAAAGTTCAACCAACCTAACAAAAAATGTTGAATTGATATTAATTGCACTCATCTACTATGAAGCACCGACACTTCAAAAACCCTAACGTGTTGTGTCCGACACTTCTTGACACTCTCTGACACTCCGACACACGAGTTCGAGGCGAGCCCCTTATGCGAACCTGACAGAGGTGTGTATTTCGACCTCAATATGTCTATTGTGAATTCTAATCTTCAAAGTCCTATAATTTAGAGTGATCAGTTCTAAACAGGATATAAAAAAAGTAACACAGGTAGAATAAAATAAACTGACTAATTAAATTATAAAAACAATATAGAAAATATAAAAGATTCACATCGGATCCGTAATCCCAACTACAAAAATAAACTAGCCAGACATAGCCAGCTTGAACAAATTAAAATAATAAAAAGAATTCATAACAGCAATAAAGAAAAGAAGAAGAAGAAGAAGGATCAATAAACTTCGTTTTTCAACTGCGTCGGAATCCATGAGGATTAACCTTGTTAATTTATATAAAATAGTATATTACTTTCACGATTAATTATTACAAACTACTTTTTAAATACTATTTGTATGTTAATACACCAACTACAAACGGAATGTTACATTTCCGCTTTGGGCATGTAAAAGAAATTTAACATTTTTTTCGTTTTTAATTCACATTTTATCAAATGAAAAAGAATAAAAAAACATGGATTAAAAGCACATGCAAATGGGTTGATGATTGTGATTTGAAAGAGAGGTGTGTGGTGGGGTCACGTGGCTGTCCAAGAGTTCCTCTCCACGCAAAATTAAGGTAGGGCGAATGTTCGGTGAATGAGAAGATCACGTGGCTGTCCAAGAGTTCCTTTCCACGCAAAATTAAGGAAGGGGGAATGTTCGGTGAATGAGAAGAAATATCAGCAAGATGATGATAATGTACGACTGCAACAGGACATGATGATATATGTACGTGTCTCGAGAAAAAAAATTTGTCATATTCAAATTGGGAAATATAATTGGCTAATAGATTTTGCAGAGTTAAGGACAAGGGAACACTAAATATATGGTTCAACTACATGACACGTAATCGATGACAGAAACTCCCATGTGAGTTGACGCCCCAGTTTAATGGATGACTCACCCTTCCCCCCCACCCCTCTTTAAGGGATATCTTCTCCTCTTACAAAAAAGGAAAAAAATTGATTTAGAAGATCATGAATACTCTCTGTAATTTATTATCGATTAAATGATTTTTACTACCGGGTAAAAATACATGATTTGGACCAATTATTACCAAAAATAGGGTAAGAGAATAGAATTATTATGATACATACCCTTAATTTAACATAGACTTGTTAACCCATTATGGCACCATATTACTCAATTAAAAAAAATAAAAATTGATTTTTAAATATATTTGGAAATGGATCTTCTCATATGAAAAAAAAACAAGATATGATTATGTGAGAATATCACAACTATACAAAGTTGAATCAACTATTACAATTTTATTAACTACTTATTTTAATATTTTTTTCATTCTCTCTTTTATTACTATTGATCCACTTTTGTATGATTATAATTTTTCATATAATTATGTCAGATTTTTTTTAACGTGAGAAGATCCATATCCAACATATTTAGACTTGTGAATTGATCACCAACAAATTTTAATCGATTATATATGGTATCCAAAAGTAGTATTTTTCAACGAAATTGGCGTGAAACTCAATATTGAAAAGCGAAAATCATTTTTCAATTCTAATCACGAAGTTTATGAAAACTTGAAAGTGATTTTAAACGTTAGTTTGAGCTCAATGAGATATACCTATACCTATGATATTCTAACACAATGATGAAGCCTTAAGCCTTATGAGATAAAATTTGAAGTATCCGCTTGAAACTTACTAAAATCCTATATTATCAACAAAATAATCTAAATAAATACAGACTAATAAATTAAATTAACTTAATAGCTCACCGCCTATGTAAGATTAAACTAAATAAATAAACAATTTTTTAACTCGAAATATTCGCGTACGCGGGTATGCTTGAACCTCATCCTATAAGATAAGAAAAGAAATTAGTTTCGTTTTAATTGGATGAAAGAGAATAGACGATTGGACTTACAAGAGGGAGAGTGCGTGCATGAGCCAATTGGAATTCAGAGACTCACTCAATCACACGTTTATTCTTATCTTTTTCAATTAGCATCCCAGGTAGATTCTCAGAAATCGGTGGAGAAGAATGAATCTCTTTTAAAGTAAATTTGTCCTTGAATATATAAAACAACCTCGACCAGGCCGGTTGGACCGTTTGAACCTGAACCCGAATTACAAACCTGTCCGATTCAGTTTATGTCTACAACATAGTTAAAAATCGATGAATCAGTGATAAACTCTGATCCATTGGTTGTTGAACCACTAACTCACTGATCCAGTATCCCGACGAGTTGATAATTAATCCGATTTTAATAACATTAGTTGAAATATAAAAATAAATATATCTTTATTTATTTATTTATAATAAACTCATTTTAAATAGATTTTGTTATTTAAAAATAAAATGGACTAATGTTTCTCACGTTGTAGGAGATAATTTTATCTTCTACACACACATAAAATTGTGTGGGGCTTATGTGAGCTATGCGAGGAGAAAAAAGAGAAAAAGAAAAAATGAGTCTCATATATTTTTTTTTGTATGTGTAGAAGATAAAATTAAGAAACAAACGAAAGGCAGGAGTGGGTATGTTTCATGAAAGATTCGTGAATGTAGTTTTAACATATATAAGCCTACTTTTTTGACAAAAAAAAAAAAAAAAACTTCTTAATAATTATATTAATCATTAGAAATATTAACTAAATATGACAATAACAAAATGAAGAACTTGAATTTAATAAGAAAAGGTATAGATCGATAATAGATAATGGACAGAAATGGAAGTTCAATTGAAAACGTGATTATCTTATGCATTAGTATTAAATGCTTGTATATTTTTTATATTTTATTTCGTTTTTACAAGAACTGCGAACTGTTTTAATAATATATTTGGTCCATTTATTTTAATTTAAAAGTTATTTTAAATTTGAAAAC